TTCAGGACACATACAGGGACCAGCTGTTGGCCCGCTGGCTAGCAAAGACTGCCCCTGCCTTCAACCCCCTAGGGGGTCCTGGTGAAAGTAAAGCACAGACTCAGACTGCGGGATCAGCAGCTCTTGGAGCACTTGCTCACTCAGCGCAGGGAGCACCCAGGGAGGGGCTACACACTCCCCCCCCCCCAGCCAGAGAAGTCCCTGAGGCTTCTGAGTGAGGACCTCCTGTCTGCCACAGGTGCAGGGAGGGCAGAGACTCAGTCTGTAATGGCAGTGGGGTCCTGGGTCACCCACTCTGCCCCCAGGAAGTAGATGGGAAATACCTGGCTCTCTCTGGGAGTTTCAGCTGGGAACCGTGGCAGTGTGAGTAAAGCATGGACTCAAACCACGGGACCAGCAGCTCTTGGAGCACTCACTCACTCGGTGCAACCATAGACTTTGTTTTGTCAACATAAGGTTCTACCAGGAACAGAACAATTTCCAAGTACTTATCCTTCCCAGTAAGTCTGATCTCACAATTTGACTGTCAGCACAGGCTGAGATCACATACCATTAATCAGACCCTTTAAACTAGTATAGCGTATTGCCCATCTTTCTAACAATAATTCATGGCCACTAGACTTTCTTCTTTCAATCCACTTAAAATATTTTTATGTAGTCCTTGATTATGTCTAGCCTAGAGTCTGTATTAGTTACCTGAAAATTGTTGTGTTTACTTATTTTAATTATTGCAACATCTCTTGCAGATAACACTAAACATCTTCTCAGATGAATTTTACTCAGAGCATGTGGATGTATTTTATAGTGATAGAGAGAAACGAACATAGTTTTTGGACACTCACATACCAACAATAACTCTTTAGAGAGCAATTTTCAGTTTGACCTTTATAACTACTCTCTCGTACTCATGCTTCATTTTTTACTTCAATTGGTAATGTACTACCGAGTTTCATACTATTATGCTTTGAATGGTTTTTAACCGTTTCCAGAAATTAAGTCCATCTCTAAGAGAGGAAGGACAATTGTTGAACATCTTCAGAGAAATGAAGCATAGATTCTGAAGGTGATGGAAAGTGAACTTCCAGAATGTTTTTGGAAAAAGGCAATATTGCTGGAATAAATGTATACTCTGCTAAAGCAGCACATTTAAATGCTTGCATGTATTTGTCAGAAAGAAGTTTCATTGTTTTAAAGTCAAATGGGCTCATTTTTGATGACTTAAAAAACCTATTTTTATACAAATGTATTGTCCCTAAAACCAAATCATCACACACACACAAACACTCTGAAACAGCCTACAATGGTGAGCTATGAATTTGACTATGTAGCTCAGTGAGTTCAAAACTAAATCACTTAGACGATCACATCTTGATTTCATCTAGTACAAAACAAACACAGGGTAATAGTTCTTTAGCTATTGTAGACAAATCAAGATAAGAGGCTATATCTACCTCTTGAGGAAATATTGCCTTTGCGCTCTGTAAAAGATATTTTAACTTCAGCTTACGTCCTTTCTACTAACAAACAGAAAAGAAATCAAAGTACAGTGATGTTGAAAAAGTTAGTTTAATTTTAGCTTTATTCAAGTAACTACAAATGTTATTAATTTGAACAAAGTAGTAAAATCAGAAGACGTCTACATTTTATTATTATGTAGATGTTTGAAATAAAAATTTAAATCAACTTTACACCAGATCATTCAACAAGAATATTCATCAGGCAACATTATTGAAAGAGAGAGAATATGATTTGGTTTGTCCTACTGAACTCCTGTATCTGGGACATGCAGGTATTAGTACAAGAACTTGTACTCTGGGGTTTCATTTCCTGTTATTTCATGTGTCTCCTAAGATTGGTAATATTACTTCAAGAATTTTGGAATTTGGATGAATAAAGATGAATAAAGACTATGACTAAATAGCTTAGGATAAGATGAAATATTTTTCCAGAAAAAATGTTCTGGATCAGAAAATATTTATTTTTAAATTCATCTAATTATCAACTGAAGTCTTAAACGTCAAAATTAACAGTCAGTTTAACTGCTTACTAAGTATCCAATTGAACCTTGGCAAAGGCAGTAATCTTGTAATATTCACTGATAGCAAACTGCAATTGTTAACTAGGCACATACACATTACACAAATTTTTAAATCCCCATTTACAACCTTCTGCCTGTTCTCTTCATGAAAATTGTAAAATTTTTATTGTTTTGAGGAAATAATCGATATTGTTCTGTGAGATTTATTTGGCAGTCATTGCTCAGTATATTCTTGCTCAACTTTTCTCCCCAGAATGCTAATATCATTGGTGTTATTTTTCTTTGTGAAAGCTCATTCAAATAATGGGTTCAAGTACTGGCTTTGGCACATCTTCAATGTATCATATTGTAGGGAGGGGGAATCTCTGAAGACAGTGCAGTGAATTACCTTAATTCAAAAACATATGCCCAAATTGTTGTAGATTATTTTTTCCTTTCATGTAAGTAGAGATTATATATAAATTTAAGTTGTTCTGCTCATGGGTATAATCCAAGAGGTCACCTAGTGATCTATAAAAAACACTAGTGTGGGATCTTGGTTTGAATTTCTCGCTAATTACCAAATTATTATATTGCACACAGAAATCAGTTCCTTTATATTAGCTTCCTTTGGGTTAAGTTTGTCTTATGTATGAAAAATCTGAAACAAAGCTTTTGTAAATAGATAGGGGATGCAGGGTTAACAAGGGAGGGAAATGGGAAAAAAAGAAGAACTAAGATATATTATATACAGCTACAAATTCTCTATGATAAGGTAATCAATATGTATGGCAAACATGTACTGTTAAAAAATAAAATGAAAAATTCTCATTTAAGATATCTTTAAGGAAAAGATTTTTAAAATGTATAGGCTCCAGAATAACTGTGTTTAGCAATATATTACAACACTAGACCTTAAGCCAAACAACTAAAAGAAAACATAGGCATATTCAATAAACAAAAACTGAAGAAATGTGTGTATCATTGTCATGATTTAACAAATATGTTTGAAAATAAATGCACCGGAATCTGAGATTTCTTTTCGCAAAACTAATCAAACAATCTTCTAAAAAAGGATTTTTTGGCAGGAGTCAAAACTTTCCCAGAACCTTTTTTGCGGACAGATTTCATTGGAGGCTTTTTTAAGGGCAGGGCTCTTTTTGGAGTTTGTAGTGTTCTTGCTATTTGCACATGCTCATTGCAGTAATACTTGTTGCTCCCTTCTGACAGATGGATGAGTGTGCGTTCTGCCAGATCCATGCACTGGGCATGGACCCAGTGCCCATCTCCATGAGAACAATAAATCATGGCAGGTTTGTTGAGCTCAGTTGAATAGAATGGTACCCAAGTGTTGATATCCACATCACAAGTAGCACAGCATGTTATCCAGTAGCCTGTCACAGACTCATCTTCTTCATCATCTTCATTGTAGGTGTCAAATTCATCATCACCATCAAAACTATTTGCTTCTGCACTGAAACAAAATTCTTCTGAATCTTCAAAGGGTGTAGAGTCTCCTGGATCTTCCGTTGATGTCTGACTGTTTGTGATAGTTTTCTGATCTTCACTCACATCATCATCACAGCATTTCAGCAGATAAAAATAGAATGCTTCAGAAACAGCCTGTTTATTGTCTCCTGGAATGCCAAGGAAAACAGTTCCCTTCCCCATGTTATTTCCAAACCATATCTTGCTGTGCTTAATATCTGGGGTCCAATCTGGGGTTTCCATCTCACAGATTTTTATCTTGTTGTCTTCCAAAGAGACAATGTTGCAGACCATTCTCTTTTGATTTTCAAGTTGATAGCCACCAACGATAACAAATTCATCATTGTTAGTTTGGGTCAGGATTGCACTAGAGACAGAGATTCCTCCTGACAAGACTGTGCAATTCACAGCTGGGCTGCCCAAGGGGAGATCAACCTTTATTCTGTACAGGTTAGCAGGGCGGATGTTACTGGCAAGCGAATGTCCTCCTAAAATATAAACGGTATCATTTTTGGCAATCGAGACATGAAAAGATAGTCCATCCTGAAGTTCTGGAAGAACATATGATGTAGCACACCCAAATTCAAAATCCACCAAGAAAACGTGGGGCAAGCAATCAGCTACACTGTTCCACTTTTCTGTGGTTCTTTGGGTGGAAGGCATGTACGATCGTCCTCCAAAAAGCACTCCCACACTTTTCCCTCGACTGTACACCACATCAATGGAATGGCCATATCTGGCTTCAGGGACATCTCCTACCAAGTCTTTCTCTGTGCAGCGGAAGGTAACCTTTTTGTTGCTCTTGCAAACAATAGACATGACATAAATTTTATCTGAAAGCTCATTGTTTGGTGTTTTCCCTCCATGGATGATATACTGATACTTTTCAGACTCCAAGTTTCCTTTGAATGTACAAGTGGCTGGGTAGCGAAGAGGGGGAAGGTAGCAGGAATCCTTAGAGAAAATTGTAGGCTTCAGTTTGAGATGGTTGTGCTTCACATCAAAATGGAAAACGCCAGTGGGGCAGGATCTCTTTGGCCAGCCTTTCTGGCCAAAGAAGAAAACTTGTCCATCAAAATTCATCAGTGAGAAGCCTGGTTGAATTAAGGCTACGTTGTTAGCAACTGTTACCATCTGCAGAGACATATTTTCCAATCGGCAGTAGATCTTTTATCTGAAAGAATTATAAAATAAAATGATTTAGACTATATTCACATAAATCACTATGTTCAGATTTCTTCACATGCAAAAAAGTGTTTTTTTAAAAAAAGTCCTCCTATAAGCTCTTAGTACAACCGGATGAACAAAATTCAGGCAGTTAGGTATTGAAAAGGAGACAGAACCTTCTCACTTAATACAACCCAAGCAGCTGGGACATATTTTGGAGCAGGACTGTGAGCCCTTAGGTTTCTGGGAAATGTAGTTCTTTTCCTCTAAGATTCCTTACACCTTAGCTGAAAGAACTACATTTCCCAGAAATCCTCTTTGTGTCGTAGGGTAGCTATGATAATTGTTTTCCTTGTTCCAAAGGGGGAGACTTCTAGGATGACTCTCTGAATAAGGACGCCAAAAGTGCGAAGTGACTTGATGTGAGCGGAGGCGCAGACCACTGGGTCACGGGAGGTGAGAGAAGTTGGCACACACCCAACCTTGGGTTCCGAGAAAGCTACAACACCAGGATGGGTGTCTGGCAAATCCATGTCTTAGAATTGCCTGATCCTCTCCTGGCACTCCTACAAACAGGTGACCCAGTGGGAGGCACAGCTGCCTTTGGCCCGAGTATGGTTGCCTGGAAACCACACTGTAAAGGGACGCCATGGCGGAGCTGTCGTTAAAAACTTCCCTGAACGCTTTGGAGCTCGGCTCAGAATTGCACCCTGGAGGGTACTTGAGTTGCTGAGGCAGGGCGTTAAAAGTGCTGTGGATGTTACACAAACTGTGATGATCTTAGAGAACCAGATACCTGGCCTGCAGGGGGAAATTGTTTGTTAATGATTTTATTATTTTGCTTTTAGTAATGGAGATGTACTAATTAGACTTCTGCAAGTACCAGTGTAAAGGCCTTGGTTTTCTTATCTGCCTTTTCTCCTGTTTTAAAGATCATTTTAGGGAGGCAGACAAGATTCCTAAACACATCTTCCCCTTCCCCCTTCTAGGAAGATAGTCTTAGGAGCTTTTATTTCAAATCTCTTTCGAGCTCATGAACTTTGAGGTAATTCTTTAGCAATTGTCCAGTAAGCAGGCACTAAGCAAAAAGGTGCCAGAATTATTCAGGATTTCATGTTTGTATTATGACATTTAAAATGATATATCTAGAAGTAAATTTGATAACTTTTAATTTTATTATTGCTACTTCACTTTTGAAGATGTAAAGTACATTTCCTGTTTGCCAGGGAAATTTTAGGCACCAAAAGTTAAGGGGCACAAAATAAAACAGATTCATTGATAGAGTAAAAAATTAACATACTTAAAAGCAGAATAGCTAGATACAGTGCCAGCTCTGTCACTTAATATATGACTGGCTAGATTCAAATCCCTGCTCTGTCGCTTACTAAGTCTATGACTTTGGGCAAGTTATTTAATCTCTCTATGCCTCAGTTTTCTCATCTGTAAAATGAGATAATTATGCCTACTTCACAGGTTGATGTCAATTATGATTAGTAACTTAATACACGTAAAGCACTTGGGACAACTTCTCACCCTGAATGATAGTTATGATTATTCTTGATTTTATCAAAAATAAGATTGTTACAGCACAGTATCTGCCACTGATGACAACTGATACAAGGCTGGAAATAGTTAGAAGGGGCTTTAACATATTGGAATCTGTTCAGTGGGTATAAACTTTTGAACTAATAAGTTGGGTAAATATATCTGCTGAGGGTGCTGGTGGTGAGTTAGTGTAAATAAAAAGGGATATTTTATTCTTGTTATTATATCTAATCTTTCATTAAATATGCAGGACCTAAAGTTAGATTTTCTGAGTCCAAATCTGGGGCTCTGACACTTACTTGTTGTGTTGCCTCGGGTAAATTATTTTCTCTATTTTTCTCCCTGGAAAATGAAGGCAATATTAGTACCTACTTATTGGATTGCATTGAGAAATAAATGCAATAACTCATGTAAATCACATAGCAAATGATTAATATTAGTTGGTACTATAATTTATTTTTATTGGTTGGACCATTCTGAATCTAGTTGTTCTGATGAAATGTTGATTTTTTATTTTCATTTTTTGCCTTGAAGCACTTTTGTAGATGAGATGTCATTACTTGCTAGACATTCTCTTGTAGTTAATAAGTTTTTAGTTTACTTGGGAGGTTCTTCAAGGTATGATCTTATAATAATTAGCTCGTGGGCTCTTAAACCAAGTGAGGAAGTGGTGCCTAAGATTTACTATTGCCAGATCTATGAAAGCAAGCCTTTCTGTTCCTCAGACCATAGTGGTTTGTAAATTCAGCAATTTACCCTGCTTGTAAAATGACCTAGGCAAGTGTTGTATTTATTCATGGGCTATACAGGTATATGTAAGAGAAGAAATTCCAATAAGTAAGAAAGTTCTATCCATAGGAACAAAAAGCAAATGTTATTGACTCACAATTCAGTAAATGAAAACTGTAGGTGATTATTATCAGTGTATTGAGTGATTATTTTCTGAGAGTTTCTCCATTTTGGGTCGAGGGAGCCTTGTTGCCAAAGCTTGCTTATTTTAAATACCTATAAAGACTGATACTGGGATATTTTACTTTACTTATGTGATTATGTTTTCTGTAGAGTAGACCATTGTATCTCTTCCAAGGTTTTAATGTAACTATACTATATTAGTCTTATCTTGGCTTTTAAAAAAGTTTTAAAGGATTATACTAGATCAAAAATAACCCGCTGAAGAATTTTTCTTTAAATAGGCTAGACAAAAAGAGGCAGATTTTTAAAAAATAAGACACTGTTCTTCAACTGAGGAAAATTTCAAAGTTCACACATTAAAGATTCCTTTTAAAAGGCAGAAATATAGGACTGATACACTTACACAATTTTCCCAACCCCATGCTAACGTTCCTCAGCAGGGAGATTTTCATTTATTCACTTTGAAGCCAGGGAATATTTGAGTATCAAAAGCGGACTAATGGTGTAAGGTCTGGGTTTGTAGTTTCCTGGCTCTGAACTCACTTGTTTTTCTTTCCAAAGAAAAATAGTGTACTCTGAAGCGTTACATCTTACTGATCAGTGCTGCCCGTGTTTCCTGATGGCTCCAAAATAGCAAGTAACCTCATGTACAAGACATCCAGTGCCTCATAACTACAGGCACTTAGTGTGTGAGTTAACACTGTTTTGCATGGTTAATCAGATTGGAAGCGTACATTATTTGATTTTTCTGCTGGCAGTAAGACCAGAATTAAGTTTTTCTTCCTACATTAATGCCAGAGAAACATTTATGTACTAAGATTAATAAGAGTGCTCTGAAGGTATAGGAATTAAATCCTTGCAAGCAGCCGGAGAACAGGAGGCCCCACGTTTCCTAAATTCTGCTTCATCCCTTCCCCATTTGACCTGCAGACCATCTGCAACTCACATGTTGCTGAAGTGTGTGTCATCATTCCCTTCAAGTTTACAAACAAGCTTTGTTAGAAATGAAGGTATTGGACCTACCTGAAGGCCAGAGGGCCTGCTCACCCCTCTCTGAATCTTTGCCGCTAAACCAGGTATTAAAATCAGCACTTGGGAAAGGTTCACCCACTGCCTACTATGACTGCAGCAAGCAGAAGGCTGATGGCCGAGGGAGTGCTTATGGTGCCTACAGATGTTCTAGTGAACGCTGATCTAACGGGAGCAACTGACTGTGACCTCTTTATTTTTCCTCTTTGATGGTTGAGGGAGGTATCCACCAGGGTGTAACTCACAGTTTAACTATTTCATTGCCAACAACAATGAAAACACAATTCAGTATTTATTGGTAAAGTCAAACAAAAAAAAAGAAACGAAAAGAAAAAGAAAAGGTCTGGTTGAAACCCGATTAACTTTTTTTTTTAAACTAGTTTTTTTTTTAAATTAATGCATGTTTGAGATACATGATAGTTAAATTCACCTTGGGGAATTAGTACATATACACAGTGCATTGTAATCCTTTTTACTTCCTCTTTAAATTGAAGTGCTTTTCCAGGATCTTACTCAGAAGGCAGGGATTGTGATGACTGGGGGTCTCTATCAACTTCATGCCAGGCAGCTGCCGTGTGTGATATTGTACAGTGAATAATTAAGAAAATGAGGCTTGGGGCCCAGCTGGCCTGGTTTCCTTTGTCAGCTCTGTAAGTTTCCTGGTGGAGTCCCTAACCCTCTACCTTGTTTCTCCTTGTCTGAAATGGAGACACAGAAATACATATCTCAAATGATTGTTAGGAGACTTGTTAGGAGACTAACAAGTGAAGTGAGGTAATAAATGTAAAGTCCTCAGCCAAGGAAGACATTAAGATTCCACAGTTCTCTTGTTAGCAAAACTACCTTTGTAAATTTTAATAGTTGCGTAGAATTTTATTGACTGAATATCATATGATTTTCCTAACCATCCATTATTTTTGGTCATTTAAATTAGGACTCACGTGGCTTAGATGATAGAATGTCATGATATAGGCAGGCAAATCTGGGTTTGAGTTTTAATTCTGCAACTCACTAGATGAGTGGCCTCTTTGGGCTTTCTTTTTCTTTTAATCTTTAAAGTCAGGAATATACCGATGTTGTTGTAAGGACTTACAGATATTTAGTGTCCAGTAAGAAGGACATACAGGAGAAATCTTGCCTAACGATGATAATGTTATAGAGGCGCTTGAATGACTACTTCATTTATTAAAGATACATTTTCAGGGCTGACCTTTAAAAAAATACGTACAGCTTGTTGACTCTCATCTATCTTTTAAAAAAGAACCGCCAACTCCTCTAGTTACTTCCATGATGATTTTTGCTCTCTGCAAAAGAATATTTGTAATTTCCCTAATCTGTTAGTACTATTATAGAATGATGTTGATACTTGAAATTACAGCAGTAATGACAGCTCTCATAAGGTTATATTTCCAGTAAATGCAAAATAGAAACAAACCATGGTTAATTTAGGAAAGTGTTTTAGCCTTTAGGTTTAATGGACATCAAAAATTAGGTAATTTGTAGTATAGTAGTTAGTTGCTGAACTGGTAAACTGTCTCCCAAAGGGGTTAGAGATTAGTATAGTAGCCCTTCTTTATCCCTGGTTTCATTTTCCTTGGTTTCACTTGCCTGTTCAGGTACGTTCTGAAAATATTAAGTGGAAAATTCCAGCAATAAGCAGTTCATAGGTTTTCTTCTTTTTCTTTTTTTTTTTTTTTTTTTTTTTTAGTACTGGGAATTGAACTCAGGACCTTGCACTTGCCAGGCAGGTGCTTTTGCCCCTGAGCTATATTCCCGGCCCATAGGTTTTCAACTGTACATTGTTTAAATTGTATGCTGTTCCACTATGTGCAAAATCATGTGGTGAATTAGAAAAGAAAATTATAGACTCAGGCCTTTCCCTTAAAGAATATACATGGTACCAGGATGCAGCAGCTTTTAATTGCTGATGAGCACAACTACATTCGTCCCACATTCACCCGTTTAAAAAA